TTACGGCAGTGCTAGATGAAAACTGGGGCGTGTGATTCTTGGGAGATGAGTGTCACCTCGAACATGAGACACAGAAACAGAAAGGGAAAGGTTACCACAGATAAGAGATGACGGTAAGACCACACGTCTGATCTTGTTTGATTTACAACCACAGAGTTCAACATGGGTTAACAAATATACTATACTGAAAGTAGAGCAGGCTTTCTGTTGTTTTGGTTTTGGGTTTTTTTTTTTTTCTTTCTTATCAAACTGTTTTAATCAGACAAATGTTGGTCTTCATGCCACTGAATGCAAAATATTCTGGAACTCCAGCAGTGGAGACAGGAATGTATCATATTTGAACTGCTGCATAGCTGGCTTTTAAAGAGAGCTGATCAGCCTTAGAAACATACTCTGAAATCCTAGATTGCTTGGAAATACTACAGCTTTGAGCACAGGAATGTTACAAAATCTTTAAAAAGCCTTCAATTATAAAACAAATTACAGTGGTCAGCAATCTTCTCTGTACATTCAGTGTGAAAACAACATCATAAATATGCTTCAAGGTTGTTTCTCTTCACAAAAATATTCTGAGGGGTTGTCTGCAAACCTACGTTGTACATTAAAGCTAGATTTTCAGTTCTATGGGACTAGTTAATATTTACATTAAGGGTCACTTACATTTTCCTGTGCAAGTAGGATAGGAAAGAAACTTTTGTCAGGAATTTGCATTTTCTATAATTTTGTACAATATACATGTAAAGAAAACATCAATTTGCAAACTTGCATGTTTAGGTTTACTGGAAGCAAAACAGCGTAGTATAGACGAAATACTAATGACTGCAGTTTAACTCGCTATGTCCTCTGAGCTCACCTTTCAAGTTCTTTGTGTCCTTAGAATCACTCTGAAAGAATAACATAATATCTTATTAACTTAATTGTTCTATAAATAAGAAATTATATATAGAAATAGATTTCCATTTGAAATATAATACTAAAAATACAGAAGAACAATTACTTCAGTGAAAAAGTTATAAAAATAGTTTTATAAAAAATGGAAAAAATGCACTAGGAATACAGCCATGTATAATTTTAATTTTTTGTCTTATTTAAATTAATGTGGATTGAGCCAAAAATGTCAGAGAGATGGCTATGCAAAATGGAATCACTTATTTTCCACAGAATAGGTATAATATTAAAATCCGTAGAATAGACTCAATCCTGTCTCCTTGGCAATTTGCTCAAACCTAGTTTAGTCATTATATGTGCTTTCATTTCTAAACCCTGTTGGTAATATCTTTGATAATGAAGACAAAGCCGCAGTTCCTCATGAATATGAATTTGCAAGGGAAACAATCTTCAAAATTCTGTGGAAGGATTCTTTAAAAAAAAAAAATCTATCCTAAAAAATGCATAATCTACTTGAACCTTTTGAATCCTACGTACATTGACGTTTGATACAATAAATAAGGAAATATTTTTGATAGAATGCCTAACCACATCACAACTTATAATAAATAATAAAGAGAATTTACAAATAACTAACAACCATGCTATTCAAATATACATGCAGAACTTACAAATATTGCAAAAAAATCCTGTCTTCCACAAAATAGTCCAGTCTCAGTAAACACCCTCTGATCTATAGGAATTTGGTGCCAGATATTCCTCCTCCAAGATGCCTGGACTGAAAAGCCCTCAGAGTTTGCATCTCCACTTCATTTGTCTGCAAAAACGTTCTATGTGTCTGATGATTTTTAGATCAAGGGAAGTTCACTAGAAGAACAGAGAATAGAGTAATAAGATCATTAAGAACAATTCTGGAACCAGAAGCATCAGTAGCTTCTATTCCCAGGAGTTTAGCAAAGCTCTTTACAAGAATTGCAGTAAGTTGCTGATGTTTTTCCCTCCCTTTTAATGGCATTTAGTAATGGATACTCTTCTCCAGATTTCCTCTTTGTAAATACACTCAGGCTTGCAAAAAAACCCAAACCACCAGACAACAATTGTTTCTGTGGGTTTTTTTTCCATTTACAAAACTTTGTAAAATATGCCACAGCTGTTCTCTGAGACCAGTCATCTTTCTAGACGTCTTTCTTGGGTGGCTGCTGTAAAGCCCCACCAAGTATTTTAAAGATAAGCTGATTCTGAACAGAGTTGAGGGAGAACCAATGACAGAAAGCCCTAAGGCCATTCTATCATTCCGCGTTCCTACTACGTTTTATTTAAATAATATATATATGTAACAGTCAGCTTTTAAATATTATTGTCATTAGGAAAAAAAAATTCTTATCTAATCCAGGATGGATCTAACACCCTTAAAAAGGAAGAACCGTGTGATATATTGTTAAATATATAATTTACATATCTTTCTGCCAAAAACTAGTCTAGAGAAACAGCTTTTCCAGCAGGCTGAGCTGATAGGCTGTAGCTGTTAGGCTAGAAGCAACCTCCAAACCTCTAGCTCCTGGGGTTTCGAGTTAGATTATGAAATTATTCAGTGAAATTATCTGGTTTACGTTTTGCAAAAGGTAACTATCTTTCCAGTCTTGCCATCTATCTATCTATTTGCCTGTTTAATAGCAAACTAATTATACTATTTAAAACACCCTACGGCATTGTACTCAAAAGAAATAAAATGCCTATTTATTAATGCATAAGTATAGATTACCAATAAGCCAGGTCCTTCGCTGGTGCTCCTGGAGCTTTGCTGAGCAGAGCATCTCATTCAACGTTACGATTAACTCCTTCACCATTCCCAAAGCAGACTGAGTAAGAAAACTATATGGATCAGTGGAGGGTCTCCCTTATTCAGTCACTAGCTTCTTACTTGTCCCTTTGGCTAAATGCTCCTTCTCTCCCTTCTCCCATTCAAGGCATCAGCTCCTTTCAGTCTTACTGTGCTCTGATGTACACACTTCAGGAGCTTTCTGCTATTTTCTGAGTTTTGATGCCTCCTTTATCAGTCTCCTTGACCTGTATTTCTTGTGAAGATGTTATTTCCTTCTTACCAGCAGCACTCCATTGCTTTTTCCAGTTGTTGGATGTATCATATTCCACCTTAGCAGGGACCTGGTTTAAAGGTGTAAGCTCATAAGGAGATGCGAACGCTTATCAAAATAGGCCAGTAATAAACAAGAAGGAATTTGTTCCTTTTTCTTGGGCCTGCATCCAACATGCTGCATAGGCTTTGTGCAACTTCTGTGCTTGAGAGTGATTTTACCAATTAAGAGCCCTCTCCATCACTGCAAATGGAAAAACATCAGCAGATGTGCTAGAGATATTAAAGATGTATCCAAAGCTGGCCTGCAGGTCAGAGATAGTCTTGCCTTCGCTAATAGAACCTAAAACCAGGCCACAATTTTACCAGCTTCTGGAAACAAATACCATCTGATTTCACGGCTAACACCATGCTGGAACAGTATTATCAGCTCTTCCCAGTTATTCAATAAAAATGAAAGCAGATCTGCTGATACAAAAATATTTTTTAATAACAAAAAAGGGAAAACAACATATAACAAATACAGAATTTACAAAACCTTTAATCTAGTCTACACTTACTCTGTCACTCCTATATATGCCAATAGTTCCCTAAACACAGCATAGAACAGATGCATGGCGGGAGGGTGGAGGGAGATGGAAATTAATCCATCTCTGTAATTAAGATCTCAGAACAGCTTTCTCGCTACAAAAATGAGTCAGTCCTGATGTTGCTAATGTGCAAGATAGGAATACACTTCCATATTTCAGTCGAAATACAGGCTTCTAAGTAATGAAATTGTATCTAGATAACATGAAACTATCTTACTTGCTTCCCAGTCTCACTTGAGCAAAAAAGGCGTGCGTCCATCTTGGTTTAGACAGATAAAGTAGAAATGTTTTCACCTTAAAATAAAGAGTAGGGGGAGAAATAAGTTTTAAGACCATAACACAGGGGATAAAAACTTGGAAATTTTAAGGGAATTCGCATGAGCAGTACTTAACATTAAAAATAGATTAGAGTCTAGCCTGGCAGCTGCTGTATTAAAGCTCAATTTGAAACAATACATGAAGGGCAGAATCAGAAACACCTTCAGAGCAAATACGCTAAAATAGCTATGCACTGTATTACAAGAACAAATGATTTTTGTGGACCATCTCTCAAAACGCTAATTGCGTTTGGGCTTAAAAGGGAAATCAAAGCTGAAAGAGATGAGAATTGGGCTTCTGTAACTCTGAGTTTGCCAGCTCCTCCGGTTTATCACAAATTCGGACCGTTTCAGAGAGGCCCTGAACCACTCTACCACCCAAAAAACAAATGTAAAATAATTACATATGCCAAATAAGGAAAAGAGTTACCTCCCACCCTATGAATGTATTTTCCACTCGGATATAAGCCCTGCATTCCAGGCATCTTCAGTCATGGTACTGGCCTAGCCACACCTTTGACCTTGGTCCACTGCACCCGGCCTGGGTAGCCACAGAAATAATCCTCCATGTTTTGATTGTTTTGTCGATGTTCAAGCCAAGGTTGTATTCCATCTTTTACAGAGGCAACATGCAACATGCGAAAACTGGCATTCATTCTGTGCAAGAGCCACCGAACACCCCAAACAAGGTTGACATCCTGGTCTGCTGCCTATATGTATGTATACTGTGAGACAGCTTAAGGACAAGATGTTTCTAATGAAAGCATCAGACTAAGTTACAGACAGCTACTCATCTCTCCTAGTCCTTCTAAGCATATTTTCTACCAGGAAAATGAGCCTCGCATGAAGCATCATTTTATGCAGAAAGTTAATGGATCTTTCCTAGTCACTCAGTCAAATTTAATGTGATAATTACTTCTCATTTCACAAATGGGAATGACAGTGCAACGAAATGTGTACACCCAGAAGCAGAAGCAGACATTAAATGCAAGCTTTTTTTTTTCCACTGTAATGAGTGAGATGACATGTTGAATACAACTCCAGAAAAAGTGAAGGAAGTGAAAGGAAACACTGTACAGTCAGGAAAAAAAAAAGAAGCTGCATCTCAGGCCATTCCAAACAATGACTTTATTTTCTGTGGAACATCACCATGGCAGCCCCCACAGCAGCATCGACATCCTTCCCGTAAACCACAGGGAATGGAAAAATCCTTTCTACTTCCTGCCTCAGCACCTCGTTCCTGGCAAGGGCACTCCCGCTCCCCAGAATCCTCCTCACTCCCATCTCCATCAGGCGCTGCACAGGTAACATGGAACAGAGGTTTTCAACGATGCCACGGCACAGAGCTCTGGTTACGTGACCCAGGGAGAGGTCAGAGACAGCAATATTGGTCACTGACGCCATCTGCTCGGGAATGTGCCTCTCTCCAAATATGGTTGGGTGGACTGAGAGTTTGCTGTTGTTTTGGGCCAAGGCTGCTTTGATTATCTTTGTATAGATGGCAGACTCCTGAACCTGAAGTCCTGCAGATGAGAAATACCATGTTACTAACCTGAAGAGGTCTAGTGTATCTTACGTGTGGAGACTTAAAATGGATGCTGATCCACCTGTTCAGCAAAATACTGTTATATCTTTTCCCTGTCCCAAAGGTAACTGTTTTTCCAGGATTATGAACCACAGTTCTCCCATCCAACTGTATCTAGTATCTGCGATACTACAAATGTTTTTCTGATTACAGAAACTGCCTTTCCTGATAAAACAGCTATTCCTCTTTGCCTATATACTGTGCTGAGTTACACAAAACATCTTTAAAGGCACTAATGGCAGACTTCAGCTTCAGTGGCTGGATAGCATGTGAATGCAAAGTTCACTTCAAGTACTCACTGAAAGAACAGTTTCAGAGCTTATTTCTGTATTGCAAAACCCAAGAGATTATAAAAAAAAACCAAACTGTGAAGACCATGTTTAAAGCACTTAGAATATATTACATGAGTTTGAGTCTTAAAATCCATGAGTGCTGCATATTTTGCAGCAAAAGGCAACTGATATAATCAAGGGACTCTTTTGGACTGCAGCCATACAAAATTAGAGGCTGTCCTCAAATTTGCTGACCTTTCCTTTTGAAAAACACCTTGCAAAAAAATTAATCCTCTGTGTTCTTGAAACAAAAGAAAACCCAAAACCTAGAGGCAATGTGAATGTGGAGTCCAAACATGACTGTCCCAGCATGTTCATAAGCTTCA